GTGGACTTTCCCTCCACGGAACCATGACGATTTTACACATCACATGGAAGCGGATGGCATCCCTTGTTTGTGAGGGAGAGCAGTCTTCCAAGGGACCATGCCATCCACTTCCATGTTAGTGAGTCAGAGTGTAAGGAGAGTATCAGCCTCTTCCCGAAGGCCCCTTCTTTCGGTCCCTCAAAAATAGGGCTCTTCGATTCCCCCGAGAAAAGCTCTGCTGCTTCGAGAAAAGATTGCGGAGTAGCTCAAAAGGTGGAGTTCTATGAGCTTCCAAAAGTAGAATCTCTTCACCCCCTTTGTTGGATCTCCCTTCTAATTCGATCACCTTTTTGGATCGTCGATCAGGTCTTCAAGAAGTCCCAACTGCTGCCGATTTGCCGAAAACTCTTTGCTTTGAAGTCCTCGGGGAAGCCGATGGTGCTGAAAGAGAGCTTGGACGTGCTGCCCAACAGCTACTGGGGCATCCGGGGAGCCCACCAGGCAGCACGAACGATGGGTGTTTGGGGGTGTTTTTTCTTTAAACATTTTAATAGTGAGGTGTGACTTTTGGGTTCGAAAAGGGGCTCGCAAATGGGACCTTGGAAGTGTTTTTACATCACATGGTTCTTGGCAGGGATGGTCATCGATGTGGGAGCCCGGAGCCCACGGATTTGGCACATGTGAAGCATTTGTTTTCCGGTTGGGACCAAACATAGATAGACTTGTGACTTCAAACTCAATCTGAAGCAGACACAAACTGCCCTGAGTAGGTTGGCCAACTGTTGTGCCGCATACCATCCATTTCGACATACCTTTCAAACCCAGCACGACCACTTCTTGGTGCTCTGGCCAGGTGTCCTTCGTGCTGATCTACTTAGACAAGTGCGCTGAATTCCAGCAGCAGCTGCCGCAGGAGGTCCAAGATGAGATTGCCAAGGGCCCCCATGGTATGCTGGAGAACTATCCCATCTACAGGACCTTGCGCTACTCCCGCGCGCTCTTTGGTTGCCAGCTTTTAGAGTGGTGTCAGAGCATGTCAGAGCTCTTCTTGGGTGCAGAGTGGAAGAGATCCTTTGGGGGCTGGGGAAGGAAAAGGTCCCATGCAGACCACATGGAGCCCGAAAGCCACTGCGTGGTGCTAGATGCGAATCGTCGTGCTAGATGATCCATTTTCGGGGTTCATGGAGATTGTCCGCCACGGATAAAGGTCGGATTCCGCAAGTAGGACTCTGCAACTAGTTGTTTGGATTCCGCAATTGGGATTCCGCAGCTATCAGGATTCGCAACTGGCTTTCCGCAACTGGAATTCTGCAAAGCAAAAGCAAATACACGGCAGGGGTCAGGGGTGGGGTGGGCGGGTGCGTGGGTGGGTGGGTGGGTGGGTGGAGGGACAATGCCAGCGTTGGAATTGCAAACCAAGTTCCAGCAGCAACCTCAGGCCCGAAACATTCGCGACAGCAAGCGTAAGCCACGTGCCTGGATGCTGGATTCCGCAACAGGTCAAGCAGCAAACACAAGCCCCAAGCATCCAAGCAAAAACAGGGGCGGGGTGGTGGGTGGGAATCTCAGCTTTTGAACACCAGTTGCAGAATCTGACTCTCCAGTTTCAGGATATCAGTTCAAGAACCCCTTTGCGGCATCTGACTTTCCAGTTTCAGAATCTGACCTTCCAGTTTCAGAATACCGGTTTCAGAACCCCAGTTTCAGAATTAGTGTCAGAATCCCAGTTTCAGAATCCGACCGATTAGTTTCTGAATCCGGCTCTAACCTTGTCACCAACTCTACTTGCTTGTCATTCCGACCTGGGACCTGGCATGTCGTCTTTACTCCAATTTCAAGTACTTGTCCAGTCGATTTATGACTAGATACTATGCTAAACACTTGCAACTAGTTTTGTTTGCACAATTCGGGGTACCGTGATCCAGTGAACACTGGCAGGACCACTGGGAACAACAAGGAGGACATGTTGGGCCTCAACACTGCTCAGGCAAGGCAGACTGCTGAGAAGAGTGAGGTTCCATTTGACTTGAAGATTCCTCAGTCTTCACTCCAGCAGGATTTGAAGATGGGAACCTCTGGGGGTTACGACCACACTCCCTGGTTGAAATCGTCGGAAGATTGGCACGGCCGGCCCGATTTTTCGATGACCATTGTCCGAAGATCAAACAGGTGGTTTTATCCACTTCCAATGATTATTTGGAGTGTAGACGACGTCTTTACCTGAGCTTACTTTAGACATGGCAACATGGCAAAAAAACAGGGTCTGGAGGTTCATACGAAGTGCGAAACACTCAGATGATAGGGTGTTCCCACCGCATCATGTGGCTCTCTGCTCTCAACCTCAGCATCCACCGCACAAAAAAACACCGAGCATCCAGGGGTCACGTCCGTACCGGGGGCGTGCCGAACCAAATGCCCAACAAAGCGCTCAGGTGAATCTGTTAGCCGCCCAAGGGGAATATGCGGTGCGACAGAATGCTCATCTTTTCCGGGAGCTACAGGAGACCACTCACGCGGCTGCAAGTGCTCTCCTCAGAGCTCGCCACTAGTTTTCACTTTCGATTGCCGGTTGCAAACCTACATCTGTGCCCATGTCCAGTGCACTGAAGAGTTTCGATCGATTTCCGGAGTTTAGGCCTCTGAGAGCCGAGAGCTCCGAGAGCTTCTGTTTCACCGTGAGGAAGCATTTCACCCGACTTATTTTGTGCTTTTTCCCGGCCATGGGCGCTAAAGCCTCCGTGGGCCTGCACAGCGACATCTTAACAAAAAGGCTGTGCGAGAGCCATTCGATGGATTTTTCTGTGTTTTCCAGTGTTTTCATATTCAGCCTGTTCGTCCATCAAATTCTCCCAAACATGTTGATGTGTGAAATGATGCCACTGCTGTCTCGGACCTCCGACTCTTCTTTTGCCAATGGGATAACTGTTTACTGTATCAGGTGAGTAAGTCACTTGCCAGAAACAGGTCACTCTTTTCAGCTCGCAGGATGGTGGTCCGGCCTAGCGAGCGCTTCTTCGAAAAGACCCGGAGCTGAAGGAGCTCCAAAAGACCAGTAACTCACCTTACGCGTCTCATTCTGGGACCGAACGGAACCAAAAGCCGGGCAAACGGTCCGGACGAGCCGAGAGGAGCTGAGACTCGGAGCCCAGAGTCGGGATGGGGGCGGACGAAGAGCATCGGCCAGGTGAACGAGGCAGAGCTGCAGAGCGAATGAGCTGGTGCAATGCTCCAAGAGACTTAGTGGTCGTTTCTTCCAGCTTCAGTACCACTCATAAAAGCCTCTTGCGCTGCTGTTTCACCTCAGTTGTACCTGTCTCACCTCATTTGTTGTTTGGGTCTTCTCTCTCTCTCTCTCTTATAACTACCAGTGTCAAGGGGATTTTGCTTGTTTTGCCGACTCTAGAGTTTGGGACGGGGTGGAATTCACCAAGTCAACACTGCTCTGGGGGTGCATGGATTGGCCTCCGAAAATGTAAACGCGCTGCGTCTGGGTCTGGGTGTTTGCCTTTGTTGACTTCCATTTGATGGAACCAGTTTGTTTTCCCAGCCTGTGAAGGGTGCTCCGTAAAGAATGTCTGCCAACTTCAACTGTCCAACTATCATCATCATCATCATCA